TTAATTCAAAACTTCAAATTAATTGACTTTCTTATTTAATCATTTTTAAAATTCAAACAATTATCTCAAATTGATTTCATTTTATGTGGGATATACTGGAAGATAAATTATGAATAATATTGACTTTAATTTTAACTCTTAAATATTTTGCTGATTTAATGGGATTAGATTAGATTTGGTTAATAACTTAATTATTGATATGCTTGTTTAATGAGTTTTTTAAAAAATAAATAAATAAAAAACAAAATATAAACGAGTTTGAATTTGGAAATCAAAAGGTATAAATAAGGAAGTTAAATTAGGAACAATATTAATTAGAGAAACTGATATCATGTATATAAATAGAATGATATGTTTCAATTGATAAAATAATTACTGAATTTAAAGATATTATAATTATTACAGCTTCTATAATTAAATGTAATTGTGTTTGAATTTTATTTGGGGAAGATGATGTTAGTAATTTGATCTAAGAGTGGAAAACGTAGGATTAAAACACAATCAAAAGTCATGATTGTTTCATTAATGAATTAAAGGTTCTCTTTTAATAATATTTAGAGATAGTAACGAAATTTCACAATTCTTTCAGTAATTTATTAAGCTATGACATGATTTAATATTGGTTGAACACATAGCTCATATAAAAATGTTTAATAACTAAAAATAATATTGACAATATCTGTTTTTAATGTATGAATCACTCGTTGCTCACAGGTAAAGCTAAAATTTTGCTTGTAAAGTTAAACAGTACAAATATTTTTCTGCCATGTTCACTAGCAGTAGATGGACACGCGTCATGTTGGCTTTGTCACATAAAGCATGATAATAAATGTTTAGGTAATAAAACATTATAATAGGCCATGGTTACCAAGGGCATTATGGTAATTTTAAGTAGACCTTTTGTTGGGTTAAACTATGCCAATAGTTATAAATAATGATTAAAATTTTAAAACTTAAAAGCTACTTTCATGTAAACCAAGGAGAACTCGACACCATTCTTGGTCAATAGCATCCACTAAACCAAAGCCACTTAGGGGTTCCCACCACCGACAACGCGTAATTCTGACCTGCTTTAAGATCCATTGGGCCCTTGTGAGCCCATTAGAAACAAAACGTTGTTACTCGTTACTACATACTTACATCCATAATCTATTCTTCTTCTAACCCAGCTACATTCCTTAGTCCCCACCCAATTATATAAGCCGCAAAACCAGCAATTGCACCATTGAAAAGGGTTCCCACCACCGACAACGCGTAATTCTGACCGGCGATCTTCGCCTTCGCGATTCCGAGAGCCGCCAGTGCGAGGGCGGAGAGAACACATGCACCAATGAACTTGAGGGTGTCGTTTTGGGTAAACGGGATGAGAACGATGAATGAAAGGATCGGAGCACTACCAAACAATAGAAAAGCTCCGAAAGTTACTAAGCCTGTCTTCCATGGCTTCTCCCCTTCCTCCGGTGATAATATTCCATTCTGGGCCATCTTTTCCTCCACCATTATGTCGCTATACTTTGCAAAGATTTCCACAACCTGGGCGAAAATGATGGTTGTAAGTTGTAACTTGTAAGTTATTGTAAACGATGATGAGGTTGACTCATTTTTACAGTAAAATGTGTTAATTACCATTGTTGCATCTTCATGGTTCATCCCTAGAGCTCGATACCGATCAAGTAACGATTGTTCTTGAAGGCGGCGACAGTTAGTGACGTCCCATTCCGTCACGAGTCTCTCCTTCGCCGCCACGTCATGCTCTGTGTTACTCGAAACATAGTCTCCCATCCCCATTGATATCCCATCGGCCACCAAGTTTGCAAACCCCAAAACCAACACATCAACTGCAATAATCAAACACGATCGTTAAATGATCAATCTCTCAAAAACTTTAGCACGAGAGACTGGTTTTGAAAGTTCACCGGAAGATAAACGGCCGGCGGAGATGGAAGAAATGAGAGAAAACGAGGTGACGATAGCATCGAGTCCGGAGTACACTATGCTCTTCACAAGTTCGCCTTTCCATGGCTCTTTCGGCCTATCTCCGCCGCTGTTCTTCTCTGCCACCTCCGTGTCTTGGAGCAAAGAGATGGTGGTTGTGGTGGCGCCATCGCTATTTCTGGACATTTTTTTATTGCTACCACCGGTTTTTTTACTATGCGCTTTATAAAGAGTGTGTAGCTGATGTCGTGGCAGCTTGCATGCTTAATAACTTTTACACGTGTTTCTATCTGGTTAATACGAAAATTCTTGATTAGTGTGCGTGGCAGCTCGGGTTTTGTTGGTTATATAAACAGTAGTTGCACTTATGATGAACGGCGTGTGGTGTACACAGTTGGATAGACAGATAGTTCATAGTTACACGTCTGAATTTTATTTAAGATCTTGTGATAATATAACAAGAATTCATAAAATTGGAGAAATGTAAATAAGGAGGTCAATAGAAGTAGACAACATCCATTTTGGCTAAGTTTTAAAACTTTGACCGGTTTTTAACGTTATTCAACTCGTTTTACCAATTACACGACTAATAGCTTTTAAGTTAGAATTTTAAAAATCAAATAGTTGTGAAAAGACTTACGTGTGTTCTATCGCAAACATTCACAAAATAACAGCAAAAAACAAACAATCCCATGTAGACAGACGTGCACAAACCGGTTTTTTCTTCAAACTGAACCGGGTCGATTCTAATTCGAAAAATAGCAACATCGCTTTAGCCCTAAACCGGTTCATTCATAAAAAAGTCAAACCTATCTAAACCGGTTCCATCGGTTCAAAATTGGTTCACACGGTACTAAACCGGTTTTAATGACTAAAATCTTGAACCGGTGCAAACCGGCGGTTCGGTTCTGAATCAAATTGGTTTATAGTGGACCGGTTTATCGGTTCTATAACCGGTACGGATCGCGAACCGGTTTTTTTATGCAAGTCTAACCCTTGTGTCTTTATCAATTTTATATCAAAACAAGAGCCCAATATATAAAACAATATACCGAAGCCCAATTGGAAATGTAATAAGAGCCCAAATAACTTTAATTTAGGAGATATAATGCTGTTATTTGTTTAATCCACTAAAAACAACAATATGTCATCCATGGACACAATAAGCCACTACCATGTCGACCAATGGCCCATATGTCATCCATATGTCATCCATGGACACCATAATCGACTACCATGTTGACCAATGACCCGTATTTCATCTATGGACACCATAAGCAACTACCATATTGACCAATGGCACATATGTCATCCATGGACACCATAATAAACTATCATGTTGACCAATGACTCGTATTTCATCCATGGACACCATAAGCAACTACCATATTGACCAATGACCCATATGTCATCCATGGACACCATAATCAACTACCATGTTGACCAATGACCCGTATTTCATCCATGGACACCATAAGCCATTACCATGTGGACCAATCAACAATATATCATCCATGGACACAATAAGCCACTACCATGTCGACCAATGGCCCATATGTCATCCATGGACACCATAAGCCACTATCATATATATTGACATGACCCGTACGTCTTTTGTATATAAATTTCGGTTTAAACAGAAAAGCATAAAGACGTATAGTTTATTAATGTTTAGTCCTCGTATATAATTTTAAGTTAAAATTATACTATGAACACATCGTTACTCTATGTTCTTTCTTGACCTTATTTATATGTATATACCCTATTTATCAATCTGTAACTACTTTAAATAAATTTGAATTACTAAATATTTAGCGGTAATTAGCACAGTTCGAATTTTTTATTAGCGGAGGTTCAAAGTATTTCACAATTCGTTTCCCTCCAACCTACACACGTTTATGCTGCATATTAGGGTAATTAAGTTTACCCATTAGAAATAGGATTTACATTTTCTGTAATCATCATCTCCGGCGGCTTATTGATCGAAATCTTTGTTCATTATACGCTATGCTATCGATTGTGCGCTATAGTGGTGCTATAGCGCCGCTATAGCGGTTCGCGGTAATCTACAACTGCTATTTTAAACTTAGCGTTTTCAAATAGCGGTACCGCAATTTGCGCCGCAATTAACCGCTATTTACCGCTATTGTCCGAACCGAGATAGCGCCGCTATTGCCGCTTTTTCATTTTCTTTCTTATTTGAGGATTTTGAATCAAATTTGGGCCATTTTATAAATTTGTAAATGAAAAAAACAAGTTTTAGTGAGTCCGGTACCTACATTTTAAAAAGCCCAATAAATAACCTAATTGGATAATTAAAATCATTCAAAGACAAATACCTGATCACAATAGAAACGCGACCGTACTTGATGAGGGCTTGAGGCTCGAGCTGCAGCTGCTATGACGATCGACGAAGACGAGCACACCTGCGACTGCGAGGCTGCTTCTTCCGACCTAATTCCTTAATTAATCGACCAAGAAAGCTTGAATTCGGTCTTCAACTCTTCACTCTTCAGTCTTTAGTCTTCGCCCCCTTCAATCGACCTTCACTGCATCGACTCCATTCTCCCTTAATCGGCTTCCAACAGCCTAACAGGTAATAGCCACAGCCTAATGCTTTCTTTTCTAGATAGTAGAGAGTAGAGACATACACATTGCATTGCGGATTAGCCACAGTCCACATGTATATTCACTTAATTAGTAGATTTTAGAATTTTACACTTACAATTTTCAAGTTTCAACACGATGACATTCTCAGATTTTATACTGTTCATCTGTTATACATATAATTTTACATATATGATATATTTCACTGATCTATTTCTTACATCTATGTTACATCATACATGGATATCAATGTGATGTAATCTGTTAAGAAAGTGCTTGAATCATACAGGTAACAACTTATCTTTCTGTCAAGTTATGTTTGTCAGTTTGTGTACTCATCAGTCATCACTCATGTGATGTATTCTGTTAAGATTTAGGAAATAGGAACATAAAAAATTAAGTTGTTATCCTGTTAATGAATAATGAGCAATGAGTAATGACATGTGAATATTGATTTTGAAACAGGTTTAATCAATTGTGAATTGGCAAATATGGAAGGGAATTCTTCTCATGCTTCTGTGAATCCGCCCACCACCACTCCTACTAATACGAGATCGGATGCCAATACAACTAGTGTAAATGGAAATAAAGATATGGCTTGGGAATGGGGAATTCAAAAGGATCCATTAAATAAACAAAATATTTGGTACACCTTGTGTGACAAGAGAGTATGTGGAGGGATCACAAGGTTAAAAGAACACCTTACTCATACGGGAGGAAATGTAGCTGCTTGCAGTAAGGTGACTACGGAGATCACCAAGAAAGTGCTTGAATCAATGAAAGAAAAAGATAAGAAAAAAAAGGAAAGAAAAAGAACAACAGAAATACTTAGATCAACAAGTTGTATAGACCTTTCTGAAAATGAGGACGAGCAAGACGATACCCCACAAGTTAAAAAAAGAAAGTTTGTAAGTTCTAGTAATGTACGGGGTCCTATTGATGATGTTTACAAGTCAGACCATGGAAAAGGAAAGCAAACTACATTGGATAAGAATAATCCGATTAAAGAGAAGTTGAAGAAGGTAGCTTGGAAAAAGATTGCGGTTTGGGCTTATTCGGTAGGTTACCTTTCAATGCCGTACATGATGAGGGTTTCCAAGATGCGATCAATGCCATTGGAGAATATGGAAGAGGTAATAAGTTTTTTTACCTTTTGTTTTGATTAATCTTAAGTTGTTAATAATATAAATGTTTATATTTACTAGATTTGGTAATTATATAAATGTTAGGTATGCCGGCTCCAAGTTATCATAATATGCGGGTGACATTGTTAAAGGACGTGTTAGAAGATACCCACAAGTTTGTGGATTCGTTTCGACCACAATGGAAGAAATTTGGATGTAGCATTATGTCTGATTTTTGGACAGACGGCAAGCAGAGATCTTTGATTAATTTTTTAGTCAATTGTCCTACTGGTACAGTTTTTCTAAAGTCGATTGATGCATCGGAGCATATACATAATGCTGAAAATATTGTGAAGAAGGTAAATGAGGTGATAGCAGATGTTGGAGAGGAAAATGTTGTGCAGGTAATATTTGTTTCTAATTAGTTATTAGTTATTACTTTTATTTTAAAATTTTATATCCATTTTTATTAATTAAGTTCTTTTTACTTCTTATAGTTTATTACAAACAACGGTTCAAACTACAAAGCTGCAGGAAAGATTTTGGAAGAACAACATCTAAAATTATTTTGGACTCCATGTGCAGCACACTGTGTGAACCTTATTGTACAAGATATTGGAAAGAAAGAAGCAACAATCGCGACCGCTTTGACTGAAGCAAGAGCTATTGTGGTTTATATTTATAACCATGGAAGGATTCTCAATATGATGAGAAAGCTGACAAAGAATAGAGAGTTGCACAGGTCTTGTGTAACTAGATTTGCTACCCAGTTTTACACATTACAGAGTGTCCATGAGAATCGACACCATCTCCAAGTGTTGTTTGTATCTGAGCAATGGAGAAAAAGTGACTTTGCAAAGAAAGCTCCTGGAAAGAGAGTTGAGAAGATAGTAGCAAAGCAATCTTTCTGGGATGGTGTATATTTAGCTTGCCAAATATATGCTCCATTGGTGGATATTGTTCGTTTGGTTGACACAGAAGAAAGACCGTGCATGGGATACATCTATGATGCGATGAGTCGAGCGCAAGATCAAATAAGCAAAAATCTAACTGATGGGAATAATGACAAAAAAGACTGGCAGGTAGAATTTTGTCTATCATTCAAACAAGATGTAACGACCAACTTCTTCATCCCTTACATTCAGGTATAAATCTTTTACTTATTAGTTATTATTCATTAATTTAATTTAAAATAGTATGCCATTATTCGGTTTTAACGTTTTAGCGAATGACTTAATGTACAGCTGGGTGTTTCCTTAACCCCGCAATTTTTCATGGAGATAAGTCAAAGGAATATGAGGCCAATAAACAGATTATGACGGGACTTTATGTTGCTATTGACCGCCTTGTTCCCGATGAAGATGAAAATGATACTTTGAGACTAGAATTGAATCTCTACATTGATTTAAATGGACAATTTGGATCTCCAGCTGCTAAAAGGAGTATGACAAAAGTTGCACCGTGTAAGTATAAAAACTATAATGTAATCAAATGTTTTTATTTCTTAATTTTTATTAACTTAGCAACTTTTTTTTTGTAAAATGTAGATATATGGTGGCGTTCTTATGGGATCGATACACCTATCCTACGAAAGTTTGCTATCACGGTTCTTAGTCAAACTTGTAGTGCTTCACCTTGTGAACGAAATTGGAGTACATTTGATAATGCAAGTTTTTTTACCTATTTTTAACAAGTATTTTATAATTATAATTTATAAATGATATTAGTTTGATTGGAACATCTAACATATTAACTAAAATATTTTTAATTCTTTTGTTGCAGCTACACTCTAAGAAAAGAAATTGTCTTTTGCAACAAAAACTAAATGAACTTGTTTTCATCCTATACAACACAAGGTTGCAAAAGCGCTTCATGTCTTTACAAAACAAATCTTTGGATCCTATTTTGCTACGGGATGTTGAGGAGAATGATGACTGGACAATACCAACGGAAGATGAGCTTCAAGACTTTGTGGATGGTGGTGATGACCTTCTTTGGTCAGATGTGCAAGAAGCAATGGGTGCGAATGAAGACGCTCATCCAAATATTAGGAGAAAACGAGAACGTTATAGAGATGATGATGATGATATTGTAGATGTAGGGAATGATTTTGATGAAGAAGTGAATGCCTTGGATGATGTTGACTCGGATGCCGAACCCGTGCCATGCGATTAAACTCTATTTGACACTTTGACACTACGTAGTTTCTATATTACTATATTAGAACTTTGAATATTATGTTATGTTTGTATGACTTTTTAGGTTTTATGATATTAATTCTAAATATAATATAAAATTATTAAATTATATGTAATATTAAAAGAACCGCTATAGCACCGCTATACCACCGCGAAAACCGCGATTTCAAATAGCGGCCTGTGACCGCTATTGAAATTTTGACCGCGATAACTGCATAGATTATACGTTTGTGCACTGAGTTTGGCGATATAGGTTGTCACTCGTCTAAAATTTATATTTATTTAATTTAGTGTTGTCGTGATGATCGATCGTTTTTTTGTTCTCTGATCATCTTCATGTAAATTGGTTTTGATTGTATTCAATAGTTTGCATGCAAAGTAGTGCCTTCATACATAATTTATTTTTATTGTTTGTGTCAGAAAGATGTCGACCCCGAAACCAAAAGGAGCATCCAGTGTGAAGCCAACTAAATTCATTGAACCACAAGTTATGAAACGCAACAGGATTTCTGCTGCAAAATTCCTAAACAGACAGTTACAAGATGAAGAAATCGACTTGCCAATACTAACAACCACATCCAAAGCACCTATAACATCTACCAACAAAACCCCCAAACCTATATCATTAACATCACCCATGACTACCACTTCCTCAGCATCACTTAAAACATCCACACCCTCCTTAGAAAAAACATTTAAAACTTCAGAAACTGGAACAATACAATCGTCAACACGAACATCAATAACGAAAACTTCAGAACCTACATTATCTAAACCATCCTCAACACCAACACCCACTACCACATCATCAACACCTATCTCTACTACCACAACCTCAAAACCTGCATCTACACTAGGGATGAGCAGTTTGTCCCAAATCCCGATCCCGTACCGGTACCGTACCGGACCCGGTACCGAACCGAACCGAATTTAAAAATACAGGACGGTACTTGGTACTCCAAATACATGAAATTCGGGAATCGGTACCGCGGGTACCGATACTAGTACCGAGTACCGGTACCATTCCCGATACCGGTACCGGTGACGTTAATTCGGTTCGGTACTCGGGATTAACTTTCGATCAAATTCGGTATTCGGGAAATCGGGAATGGGACGGGTCGGTACCGGTTCCGTCCCATGCTCATCCATAATCTACACTACCATCCTCCACAACTACAATAACTACCACACCCTCCTTAAGTAAAGGAACTACCACATCCTCAACATATACATCTATCCCAACACCTACCCCAGAATATACCCCATCAACAACACGTATCCCAGAATCAACCCCATCACCAACACAACCACCCATGAATGGATCTGTAGTGGAAAATGTAGAAGGTGAAAACAATTCCTCTGAAGATTGTGGACCAGATGAACGTTTTAATGTTCATGTTTGGAAAAATACGTGAGTTACCAATTCAAATCTTAATTACAACTTTTTTTATGTATTAAATTTTGGTTTACACCTACAAATCAATTCATAACTTAACACATCACCTGATTACTTGCAGGCTAATGTCACCAGGCCCTTGTGCACACGTTATTAGTCAGTCCTTTAAACAAAGAGTAGATCCAGAAGGGTACGCTTGGGCACAAGTAAGCAAAGAAATGCGCGAATTATATTGGGAGGAGTTTCAGGTAACTATAAGTCATAAATTTTTGTTTGGTAAACATTTACACTTCAAATTATGTTTATATTGTTAATGTGTAGAAAAAATGTTGTTGGGATGAGACAATAGACTCGCTGGTGAGGCAAGCTTGGGCAAGGAAAGCGGCACAAAGTTATGGTATCTCTTCAACATGAGGAGCCCAAAAAGAAACAAACATGGCTTTAAACCAGCTCATATTCCACAGGAATTCTGGAACTCCTGGCAATTAAAATGGAATACAGAAGAATACAAGCTAAAATCTGAGCAGAACAAGAAGAATAGGCGTAATGGTGTGGCTGATGGAGTAGCAAACCCCACACATAACGCTGGATCCACATGTCATTTGAAGATAGCTTCTGATTTGGTAATTTTTTAAATGGTACATCGTATGAATGTTTGCATATGTTTATCTGTATATTTGACTTTTTATATGGTATTTATGCAGAAGAGGAAATTAGGACATGAGCCACCCCATAGTGAATTGTTCCTGTATACACACACTAAGAATCATGATGGAGTCACTTTCACAAATAAAAAAGATAGACAAATTCATGTAATATTCATTTCAGTTTAAATTAACTTTTATATTGTAGCTACTCCATAATATCATTCCTAAATTTGATATCTTTTAACTTATAATATTTTTATTTTGTAGGCGGCCTATATAGAAAAACGGGAAGAGTTGGAAGCTGAAGTTGTTGAATTTGAGGAGGACAAGCTATTTTTATGCTGTTGTTGGTGGTCATGATAAAAAAAGAAGACTTTATGGATTAGGCTGTAACGCCCCGATCTTCAGGTAATTGAATTACATTAGAACTTTCTTGATTTCAAGGTCTACTCGACGAGTTGGTAGCCCTACTCGTCGAGTAGCAGCGGATCGGCTCGCGTGTTTAGTGATCTACTCGACGAGTCCAAATAGGGACTCGACGAGTAGGAGCTGGCAGATGAAACCCTAAATCTCGGGGTTTGGCACCCTATTTAAGGATCACATATCCCCCTTAGCCTCTCTCACTGCCTCTCTTGAATCCAGAAACCCTAATTCGTGTTTACCCTCTTTTGTGTGTGTGCTTTTTACCTTGAAAGAAGATCCTTTGGAGTTAAGAGCTTGGAGTTCAAGAAGTTAGAGCTAGTGGCTGTTGTAGATCCGGATTCTTCTTTGGCTTGACATCATTTTGAAGGTAACAAGTTGGTACCTTGATTCTCTTTTGATTAGATCTCCTCATAGTTGGGTTTAGGGTTCTTTTTGGGTTTTGTGGCAATTCTCTGTGTTGGGTCAAGATCTGAGGTTGCAACCTCAGATCTGGGCTCCTTTAACCTCTCTTTATCATAAAGTTCAGTATTTGCCAAGCTATGACCTATCCCATTGCCTTAAGACACTCCTTTTAGCTTGTTTTGGGTCATATCATCTTGCATGCAGGCAAAGTTTGCAACTTTACGTGATAATCATGCCCTAGAAGCTTAGATCTGCAGTTTGGAGCCTTTGCATGAATTAAAAAGCTTTTGTATGGATGAGGGATATAAGGTACTCGGCGAGTCCATTGGTCGACTCGGCGAGTCATTTGAAGATGGTCATGGACTCGACGAGTTGGTTGAACAACTCGGCGAGTCTGATGAAGATTGCCTTAGACTCGACGAGCCTGTAGAGCGGCTCGGCGAGTCGGTTAGGGTTTTCCCAAATCTTTAGATGTGTATAAACTTGTGGGGTTGCACGCGGGAAAACCTCGACGAGTGGCCTCAGAGCTTCGATCGCGAGCCGTAGGAACTCGACGAGTCACTCCGGTGACTCGGCGAGTGGACGAGTATTAAAGAAACTCGGCGAGTAGCTGAGGGTACTCGACGAGTTAAGGTCAACATGGACTGTTGACCTTGACTGTTGACCATGAGTTGACCCGTTGACTTTTGAGGACAGTTTTGGAAAGGTTGGAGGTTTACGTGTGTGGTTCGTAATAACTACAAGTGGTGGTGTTTGTGACAGTGATCCGAGAGTTTGGGCTTATTCTTGCGAGTCGGCATTGCAAGGTGAGTTATCCTCACTATAATCAAGGGTCTAAGGCGCCAAGGTCGGCCCTTTGGAATGTATCTGGTTATGTTATGCTAGTATGACCTGTTAGATCGGTATCCTAGAGGGTAGGATAATATTATATGATATGTGGTATAAAGTGTTAGATTGGTAGCCTGGTGGATAGGATGATATGATGAGCTATATGGTAGGATCTTTTAGATCAGTATTGTCTATAGACCGATATGTAATTATCTGTTATATGCGCACATGTCTGTATGGTGGTTGAGGTATATCTGCTTCGTGCGGAGGCCAATAGACCGGGGCATTCCAACCTGTTGGTTGAGGGCCTGGGGTATTCCATCCCGAGGATGATTGGACCCATAGTATGTTGGCATTCCAATCTGCTGGTTGAGGGCCTGGGGTATTCCAACCCGATGGTTGACTGGACCCATTGTATATTGTGTTTATGATTATATGTATAATGTGGGTATGGGTAATTTGGGGGTAACTCACTAAGCTTTCGGGCTTACGGCTTCAGTTTATTGTTTCAGGTACATCAGGGGATCGAGGCAAGGCAAAGGCGTGATCATACCGCTCCTCACATTTTGATATGTATTCTAGGAAAACTCTGGTAAAGACTATTTTGGAAACAAATTTGTAGTAACTATTGGTTTTTAATGTTTTTGGAAAGTTTAAAATTTGGCTTAAATTTTATGGGTGTTTCATAGGCTCTTTTGCAAAGGCGGTTCCCAATAGGAATGGTAAAACGGATGTATCTTACATTCCGGAAAAAAATGATGAAATAAAAGAAATGAGAGAGTTTGTTGCTAAACAAAAACAGCAAAACGAAGAGCTTAAAGAAATGATGAACGCCCAACAAGAGGAAAACAAAGCAAGGGTCGGGCATCTTGAAAAACAACTTCAAACGACATTGGATCTTATTAATGTCGTTACAAAACAACAAGAGTAGTAGGTTGATATATGTTTATTGAAGATTATGTATTTTAGAGTAGCAACTTTCTTTTTTCCATGTAATAAATAATTATTTTGTTATTTTATGATATCGTTATGAGTTTTTTGTTTTTTTTTTGTTTTTCATATATTACTACAAAATTATTTGGATATAATTTATAAATCAATTATCAATCGGTCCATATTGAATCTGGTATATAATATATACACCACTAAAATTGCTAGGGATTCAAGACCACAGAATTTGATAGGAGATCATCAAACGGATTTAGCTAGGGACTCATCACCACGGATTTAGCTAGGGATTCATCACCACGGATTTAGCTAGGGATTCATCACCACAGATTTTGCTAGGGATTAACTACAACGGAATTTGTGACGGAAGAACTACCACGAA